TCTCTCTCAAATAAATAAGTAAAATCTTTAAAAATAAAATAAAACAATAAAAATAATACATATTACCTAATAAGGTAGGTACCATCGGTACCATTATCCCCTTTTTACAGATGGGGAGCACGGGTGAATGGGTGGAAATAGGTCTGAAACCAACTAGTCTGCATCCGGAGCCACACTCAGCCACAGAGCTTTTTTGTAGCCTTCCTGCATGCGGAGAGGCAGGAATCTAACACTAGTAGGATAAGTCTCCATTCTGAGCTATGCTTGGAAGCTTTTTAAAGCTTTCTTTAATCACAGCATCCCACAAAGAAAGAATACACAGTAATTTAAACTGTTAGAGCTTCACAGAGGGTAGAAAAGGGGACTAGAGTAAGCATACTAGTGTAGAAGGCACTAAACACACACGAGTGACTATACAAAAGGTAAGTAAAGGGAACAGTTATTCTTTTAGCAAAACATCCGAGAGAATACTGTAAACCTTTAGTTCACATTCTAGGAAATATTCATTAGTGCTTTTCATATGGAGGTTCTTTAGTCTTACTCTTACGTTGATGATGTCTTTAGAACAAGCCCAGGTGGTTTGATCAGAATATAATGCTACTTGAAAGTAACTCAGATATTGAAGGTAAAAACTCTCAATACTTTGCATGTATGTTTTAAATATATATTTTGAACTTGGTAGGATAGTATTAATCTCTAAGTGGTTGGTATATAATTTATCTGGTATTTTTTGCCTTAATTTTTTAGGTCTACTATACGAGCTTTGATCAAGAATTTTTCTATTGCTTCTTTTTTCCCTGCTTTCATCACACTGCTGTTTTTTCAGCACAATCGAACAGCCTATGACATTGTAGCAGGAACCATTGTGGTAAAGAGAAATGGGGTCAGATGATGCCCCAAAAAGCCCTGAATTCCATCCTCTCTGGAATAACGACAAGACTAAATTATGTATCAAGGCCATCAGTATCCCTGGGTTACACTAATTGATGATTTAGAAATTAAAGCAGTCACTCCAGTGTGATGCAGGTGACTATTCGGAAAGTATTGATTTTACTTGAATGCCAAAGAACTTTTCCAGAAGAAAAACCTGTTAAATTCAAGTGTTAAAAATTTTTAGATCGAAAAGAAGGCAAGTGGTTTTATAATCAACAACGGACAATACATACTTTCTTAAGATCTAAGGCTTTAGGATTTGCTGAAAACATTTTCAGCTGTGAAATCTCCAGATGAAACTTTTAAGAAATTTATTTTGGTTTATCCCAAAATGATGGAAAAAGTCCAGTTGTGTTTTGTAAACACATTAACTCATCTTTTAGTTAACACTTCTTGGGGAAATTGTTGTTTTTGCTTTTGGGGAGAAAGAGTGGGAACACAAATTTGGTAATCCATTTGTCTCCCGTCCTAGGAGGAGATGAGTTAGCAAGCTGCAAGACTGGGGGCAGATGAGGCAGGCCTAGCAGTTCCCTCACCGGAAGTTTTCAGATCCGTACTGCAATGTATTGTGAGAATGATGTCACTTCACAAGTATTGTTACTGTTCGAACACGTATTTGGGGGCAAGTTTTGCATGATGAAAAAGCATTAAGTCCTATTGCTATATTATCATTGATTATTTTTAAAGAAAAGGTAAGTTAGTGATTGCTTTGGGGGGGGGAACCTAAATTTTCACCATAAATTTAAGTTGAAATTCATGTGCAAGTGTTTTTAGTGCCCTAAATCAAACTGTAAGTATGTGGGGGGAAAGGACTTCATCGGATCATTGCATATTTACTGTAAAACAATATTGCCAGTATGTGTGCAGCATGAGGAAAAGTGTTAGTGCTATTCAGTGTCCTGAATGTACCTTCTATTTCTACACCAGGTAGTCACATGCTAGCTAGTTTCCTTTTATATTTTATATAGTTCCATGACTTTTGAAACAGCAAGGAGGTAAATATAATCTTAGTATTTCATGATAAAATACTAGTAGCCTGTGAAATATTAGCATTTTTCCCATTATGAACTATTCTCTCTAAAACAAGGACAAGTACCATTTCCAGACATTTTTCTAAATTCTTTGGGTCAAAAGCTTATTTTGGGCCTGCCGGGGATGATGTTTTGAGGGAATTGTTAAGTAACGTAACACTTTGTGTATTGCCATTTTAATTTATTCTTCTACTGAAGCAAAGCTTAGTGTTTTAAATGTGTGTGCATGCTTTTGTTAAATGGCCCAGTTAACAGTGTTGAGATATACCTGAAAAGTTTTATTTCTTAGGCATTTTTGCCAACCCTGACATTGTTTTCCCAAAAAACACTAAACTGTCTTGGACACTTTGTAATTAGATTGCTTAAAAGATCAATCTGGACTTTATTTTTGGTCTTTAATAGCAAATGCAAGACATGTCTATTATCACTATCAGTTTTTAAAGTGGGTTTTTCTTTGACTTTAAAACTGAAAATATTCACATTTGATGGCTATAGAAACCCTAACAGTGTCCTTATTAATACCTTTTTATTGTCAAATTTCAAAAACTATGTTTTTCAAAATAATTTTATATTAAATTCAACATCACTGAAAGCGTAAGTGTGTCAAAGTACTCAACAGATCATTCACTTGTAGCCCCTGGGAAGATATTTAAAGTGTTATGGCCTTTCGCAGTAGACAGGCACATTAGGAAATGTTACATAAACTTACCACTTAGTAGTGTACACATTAGCATTAGTGGATACACTATTTTTGCGACTGATGGGGAATTCAGGTTGAAGTGTCCGTCAGCCATGTAGCTCTGGAATAGATCTTTAATGTAGAATTTCCTCTCAGATAATTGGAAGGTTCACCATCTAGGCTATTGTTACTTATATAGCCAAACAAAAGCAAATAAGTAGCCCAGTTTAATTTCTTAGAATATTGCACATTTGCTCTATGAGTTATTCAGAATCCCATCTGTATATACGTAGGTTCATTTAGATCCATCTAAGGATCCAAGTTTTATAGCCCTATAAAATATAAGTATTATTACTACTTTGCCTTTACAACAAAATGCAAGTGTGTTTGTATTTTGAATTCGGCACTTAGGAAAAGAGAGTTTGATTTCCAAATCATTGGGAAGGAAATGACAAAACAATGGGGAAGAAGGGAGAGTCACTTTTTTTCTCTTAGGGTTGTGAGGGGTCGAGCCCCCGTCTTTTCAAAAACACTTTTCTATCTAGTATATTTCATTTATAGAAATGCCGATTTTCCGTGTCAAAGTGTAATTCCCATGCTGAAGCTCTAGCCTAAAAAGGCAAAAAGAAAGTTGTTTTCATAGTACTACAAACATTATTCATCACTTTTACAAGATAAGTAACAAGGGAACAAAAATTAGAAGTCAAGCCAAGTAAAAAGACTGTTGCAGTGAATGCACCCTAAGTAAAACCACAGAGCAGGCAGTTAGCGTGGCATCTAGGGAACCTCGGGCCCCCGGACTATAGGCGGTCAGCTCGAGAGGCTGGGACAGCTTGAGAAAGTCGGACGCACTCATGTCCATGCGGGCTTAGGGAAGTCAGCGGGAGGATGGCAAGCCTTGATTTTTAGACTAAGCTGTGACTATATAAAAATAAAGCCAGCACTTTTTGGAGTAGTAAGGCTTTAAAGTCTTGCCTAGCTGCTGCTTGTGTCGCACTGGTTCAGAAGTCATTTCTTTCCACCTAAACATTTCCCTTCCAGTTTTACCCAGATATTTAGGATTAGAAAAAAAAATACATTATACTTGAGGCCCCTTTTATCTAAATTACAACACTAAGTCTCTAGTGTTTATTGCTTCAGATGACAAGTAGAAGTTGTTTTAACTCTGCTTTAAAAGGACTTGTTCCCTTAGGTGACTTGTGTGGGGGTCTGTCTTACGCATCAGTATTTCCAGCAAAATGAAAGGAGAAAGGAGTTGAAACTACTTGCTACTTGGGAGTAGTGGGCTTTTTGGGGGGGGGGGTTATTAAATGTTTTCATTCCACACTTATTAAAACTATTAAAACAGGCCGTTGTTTTCTTTTGAACAGGCCCAAATAACAGCAGTCAGTATTCCTGAATCTGACAAGTACTTGCCGTTCCCCATCCCCTATACCAAAGGCCAAAATCTTTCCAAAATGTGCTTGTCTGGGTGAAGCTCCTCATTCCAAACTATGTATGTATATATCCTCGCAGTTCATTATAGTAGGGCTTGACCCACAAACAGTATCTGATGGCCTGCCTATAAATAAAATTCATTCTATTTTTAATAATTTGTATGCCACCAATTTGTATTCTTTGTCTCAATAAATACTTGGTCACCAATGCTTTTGTTTTTTGACTGTTAATTTGAAATCTGCTCTGCAATCTCCTGCTTAAGGGAACCCTTGCTTCCAAATACAGTTTTCTAGCGTTCCCCGCCTTTAGGAGAATGGCAGTCGACTAGAGTGCTTTCAGAAATAGAGGTCTAACCCTCCCCCAAAAAAGTCTACCTTTTGGGGTATATTCTTTAAGCAAGTCACGCAAAAGTTACCCATAGGCGACTTTGCTTAATGTTAAACTAATCCTGTCCTTAAAGTGGTTAACCATCCCAGCTATTATGCAAGATACTAAGGACCCATGTTACACATGGGAAACCAGAAGTTCAAAGTCTCCTAGCTGGTAAATGACTGAGCTGGGCAATTTAAACCTAGTTCTGATCTTACAAGCATTTCCTGTTCTAGAGGAGGAAGACAAAACAAAACAGGTTCCTCAAGAAGAACACAGATAATAAACTAAATGTAGCTAAACAATGGCCTGGTCTGAGTTCTACAATGTGCTGTTCTGAGCCCAGGCACAAACTACACGTTTCTGGAACTACGAACTACGGTGGACTAAGGGGTGCCCCATAGTACTGGTAAATTCAGTTGGCCTGTGTTGCTAGACCCAATACACTCATTTTCTCAATTTTACTATACGAAATGTCAGTGTCCATTAAACACACAGGCTTAACCTTTGTAAAATTTCCATTGAGTTTCAAACTTTAAATAGGCCCAGGAGACAAATGATGTCATGGGGATGAGAAGGACAACACAGTAAGTAGTCAATAATTTTATAATCCCATATGGTGACCACACTTGTGGTGAGCACTGAGTAAGGTACGGAATTGCTGAATAACACTGTATGCCTGTAACTGTTAAAACATGGTATAGGTCATCAATACTTGAATAATAAAAATTTTTTAATTAGCATTACTTGAAACTAAAGTGTTAGACTAATTTACAGCCTGGTTACAAACTTAAAATTATTCCAGCACTTTAATTTCAAATAATAAAGTCCTAAGTACGTGAACAATTTCATGAGAGAATTTGTAACAAGTATTATTAAGCAGCTAGCTTGAAGACATTTTTCAATGGTCTAAATTATACTTTTAATGCCCCAAATCATAAATTACTCAAAACAACCTAGCACCTGAAGTGGCATCCTCATGCCTGGACCTCAGGCATTCTAAGTCTTCCAGCATGAGAAGTGGGCTTGCTTTCTTTCCGTGATACCTCCCCTTCTTGCACAAACTGCCCTGTTTTCACTTAAGGGAACGTGGAACCGAGGTCTGCCCAAGACCGCGGTTACAGCCACAGAGAGTGGCTGAGAAGTGTGTCTGCGGCCGGAGCCAGTCCACGGGGGAGATCCCTCTGCCGTGCCCCGATTGGGGGCGGGGGGGGGGGGTAGGGCAGGGTTGCGGATGGAGCTGCGCTCATGACTGTCTTCTGGAGACACCACCGCAGCGCACGAATGAAGGCTGTGGGACATGGAAAATCCAAGTCCGGATTACAGCTCTGCAGACTGCAGCTTTGGGGCCAGATTTCATTTTTAAGCCACCTTAAGTATGATTTTCAGTCACTTGTTTTGAAGAATACTAAGTAAATATTTCTAACACATTTCTTATGAAAATCTTCCCCAGAGTAGAAAGCCTAATATTCCTGTTCGTATGGGCCCAGAGAATGATAATGAACGAACCTGCCATTTATTTAGGCATGAACATCTCAGCATTAAAACCAGATTTCCAGCATTCATCATCATTTGCCCCCAAACAGGCCTGTGTCAAATGTGTATTATTAATAAAGTGAGAATTATAGAATGTCTCCCCCCACAAACCAGCATCTGATAATGGCCTAAGATGCTTTCAATATGAAAAATATCTTTTCAAAATTGGAAACATACAAAAAAAGCTCATAAACATTTTGAAGTTCTGAATTTGGACTTCAACCAGAAGTTCGGTAAAATAAAAGTCCATGCAAAATAATTCTGTACTCAAATTAAGTATAAAAATCAGCAAATGCTGTCCCAACAGGTCTTTTATGGGCCACAGAAGAGATCTAGTTAGAAAAAAAAATTTGGTAAAAGAATCCAAAAGAATTCCATACAAAAGAACCATGAAGTTTTTGTAGGCTGCTCTGGGCATGTGTCTCCAAGACTCGATCAATAAACACTGTCTAGTCGCCTCTCAAGGAAGATACAGATACAAACAGAAATGGTTACGTGTGTTTATTTTCAACTTTTAAAAAGGTATGTCAATTTATATGCAAAGTAGGCGTGATTCCTAGCACCAGACAAAAAGCAGGGTACCTTCTCTATGTTTTACGTTCAGACACTTCCCCCTTCACTTAGGAGTTGTCCAAATCACTTAAATGTATTCTTTGGAATTTCTCTGACTGACCATGGCGAACCTTTACAAAAAAAGGTTCCCCTTCCATTAACACTGGTACCTTCATTATAAGTTAACACTAGAACAAAAAATATTTCATAATTTTTTATTGATGGCATTTATCCCATGGTTTAACATGTTAATTATACTGTAATAAACATGGCTTTAATATTAAACTTTTCCTTATTATCCAAAGTCACCACAGTCCATTTCAGTAAATATAAAAATATATGCTTAATACTTTGTACAATACTGGTTTTTGGTCCAAACAAAACTGGATCAGAAAAGCCAATAAATTCACTTTAAGAATCCCCAATTTTTTTTTAAAGATTTCCAAATGGATTTAGGCAACTTTGAATAATGGGATTTACATAATAAAATCTGAGACAAGACTAAACAAAGAACAAACAAATTTTCTAACACAAAATTAAAATTTCAAGTTCACAGATTTATGTTATGCCAAAAAAGTACAGAAACAAAATTGTATTTACACAAGTTTCATAATAAAATAATGAAAAAGGCAAGACAGGTGATAGGAGAATGAAAATATAGAAATAGCATATAATTATTAAATGGAGAACGCACTAGATCTAATAAGTCCTTAGCATGGACCATTCTTTAATCAGGCTTCCTCTATCAGAAAATTTTAGTGCACAATACACCCAACTCACTCACTTCACACATACACCAGCACAAACTCAGCATAGAAATCATTCACTTCCACATTCTCTAATCTATACAGAATTCCTCCGGTATAATTACAATTTCAACGCGTTCCATAAGCCCGTACCGGCGCACAGAGCGGGGCAGACAGAGGTGGGTCTATGCCAAGCCAGCCGGGGAGCGGGCTCTGTCCCTGGGATCCGCCCGCCGACGCCGCATCAGGGAATAATGTGCTGGATCCTCTTTCTGCTGAAGAATCAGTCACCAATCTAGCTATTTTTTTTTTTTTTTT